TGTGTGCTTGTTTTTGTTCAGAATATTTCTTGCTTTTGAAATTACCTTCCTTTTTTGTTTGCCTGACTGTGACCTCTCTCTATCCTTTGGGTATAAGCTCCAGGAGAGCAAGGAGGTGCTTTTTTGTTGTTGTTGTTGTTTTTTGGGTTTTTTTTTGTCTTTTTTTTTGTCTTATTCACAGTCGTGTCTCCAGTGCTTGCAATAACATCTGTCGTATCATAGTTACTCTATAAAAATGCATGGTTTAAATGAATGAATGAATGAATGAAAGCTTAGGATGGATTGTCAGGAGAGTAGGGTTGACAGATGGGCAGATCCAAGAAACACTGAAGGCAGAAAGACCAAGAGGAGACTAGATACCAGCCCTGAATGAACAAATGGGTATTGCCAAGATCTGGAAGTTGAATGAATGCTGGTGAAGAAGGGAGAGCAGCTGGGACAAAGGAGATTTTCTTCTAGTTTAGGTGCCTGGGAGAACAATGGAAGCAATAATAGAAACAGAAATACAAGCTGATAGACGATAAATATTTCTGTTCTGCCATTTCATAGAAATCTTGAATTTTTTTAAATCACATCCTAAAAACAATAATTTCAATGAAAACAAAGAGGTTAGTGTGTCAGAAATATTCGTTAATTTATCTGCTTTTTTGTGGTAGACATTCCTATAAGGGTTAATTTAAGAATTAACCCTTATATCCACTGTTTATTTAGTGCTTACTGTTTTAAATATTGTTCTAGGCAATTAAACATATTATTTCATTTAATCCTCAAAGTAACCTAATACAATAGGCTTTCTGTTTATTCTCATTTCATAAGTGAGAAAACTGAGGCAGAGACAGGTCAAATAACACAAGACCCAACATAAAATACAGCTGGAATTTAAACCCAGGCAGAATAACGGCTAACATTGCTGCAGAAATTTCATTAAATGAACATAAAGGCATTTTTACAACTAAGTGTATTTGTTATAAACCAAGATAAAAATTAGTTGCTCCCAACTGATCAAATCCTGAACACCACATGAGACCAGAGAAAAATTAATGATTCCTAGACCACAATTAGATGGTAACAATGCATACAAATAAAAATAAGTGAAGCAAAGATCACAAACATCAGTAAAAGAACTCCATGCATTGGAGCAGCCGTTCATCCACCAAGCCGTTGAGTAGCCCTGTGAAGGCACACGGTGCTTTCTTCAAGGTCTGGGTACAAGCTTCCAATCATAAACCCACTCAACCATAGCAGCCCCCATGGTGCAAAGCACCGTGTTTTTTAATTCAGCTTTCTTATTGCATCTAATTTGCTTTGTGTAAACTCACACTGCAAGAGAAATGCTTGCAATATTTCAGAGAAGTTATTTGGTATGAAACAAGGATATGAGCTTGAAAAAGTTCAGAAGATGGAGACTGACTGATTGATATAGATATCACTCTTACATGTTCCAAATAACTCAATGCCTCTGAGTATATCCTGGCTTCCTTTCCCCTTGAAGCTACTCCCTCCTACCGTTGTTACTTTTCTCAAGTGGTAGAACGGATCTAAGCTGGGGAGTAGGGTCCCACTCCATAGGAGGCACCCTACCTCACTTTTAGTAGCTGAGCACGTGTAGTTTCTTGCTAGTATGAAACTTTAGGAAATGATTCTGTATGCTTTGTCTTGTTCATGGGCTAAGAGAGAAGGTGGCAGCTTCTATTTTCAGAAATGTTCAGAGACAAATTCCCTGGAGCTCTTTTTTGGTAGCTCTGAAGGGAACCTAACAGTTAGATACTCTACTTGACTGCTGCCCTCCTGCTCCTTCTGTGGGTTCACGCAGGGTCCTTGCCCAGGTAAATTAAAAGCTGCAGGGCTCTGTGACTCAGTGGAGGGAATCTGGCCAAGGAGAAGTAGCACTCTGCAAGGATGACACCTTTTCTGTGCGGGACAGACTAAGGGCTATGTAAGCTCCTAATTCCCTGATGTCCTTCCCTGGAAAAGGGAGGCAGAGGCCCCACCTCTCGGCGGTTCTACAGAGACTCCTTCGTAACCCCCTTTTCTCAGGTTATCCTTTTCAGTCATCCTAGCCCTGGTCACCCTGCCTGTGGTCTCAGAAAACAAGCTCTCTCAGCTGTGCTCCTCCCCAGAACACTGTCCTGGCTGTGAGGGTCAGGTCAAACTCCCTCAGATCCCTGAGGCCAGAGAACAGGAAGTGCATGTATGCCTCAGGCTCTCTGGGTTAAGGGAGAGAGTCAGGCTGTTCAGATCCAAGTACACAGAGGCCTGATTTGACCCTCAGGGTAACTCTCTCTAGACTGTAACCAGGTGCTTTGTAATAACAGTCCAACTGTGGGCAGAAGAGCTAGCAAAGATTATCCCTGGGGGAACAAAGACCAGCCTGGCCCACTAGGAGGGGTTTATACTAAAGGAAGAGTTTATACTAAAGGAAGAGACTACGTTGAAGAAAGATATGCAAAGTCTGCTCATCCTGATTTTATTTGTGGTCACCAGAAACAGGTCGTCTGCACTATCTGTGCAAATGGACTAAAAGGTGCAAAGTGATTAACGCAACAACAAAAAGTAAATAAACATATGTTCTCCTTTTTTTTTTCAAAACAAATCCCTCAATCTTTTCATTTTTATTTACTTTTTAGAGACAGGGTCTCCCTCTGTCCCCGAGGTTGGAATACGATGGCATGATCATAGCTTACTGCAGCCTCGAACTCCTGGGCTCAAGTGATTCTCCTGCCTCAGCCTCCCAACTAGCTAGGACTACAGGCACACACCACCACATCCAGCTGATGTTTTTTTCCTAAAGATGAGGTCTGGATATGTTGCCCATGCTGGTCTTGAACTCCTAGCCTCAAATGCTCCTCCTGCCTCAGCTTCCCAAAGTGCTGGGATTACAGGCTTGAACTACCTACCACACCTGGCCACAAATCCTTGAATCTTATTTTAAAACAGCTGGTGCCAGAAGATCATATTTTAGTAGAGGAAGTCTTGATGAGATAGAAACCTCCTTCAAGATTTACAAGTTGACTCAAGAGGTAACTGCCTGGAGCTTAAACTGTCCCTCAATATCTCCCCTTACCCGTCTACTCTAGACCTTGGAAGGTGTAACATCTAGGAAAACATCCATAGCAGGGGAGATCAAATACTTCCCATCATCTAACTCTAGAGGGCTCTGCTGCCTTCTGTCTGAACAAAGCTGGAAAAAGAGAACTCTTCTGTCAGTCCATGGTCAAGCTTTTGAATCCCCCGTGCATCCACCTCTAGGAGGAATACAGACACCTCTCATCAATCTGCAACTGCAGCACAGGAGGAGGCAATTCCAATGCCTCTTCCTCCCTGACTGCCTTTGTTGCCCCCACTGCGGCTGCACTCACCTGTCAATGGCGATGGCCAGCAGGGCATTGGTGGAGACGTAGAGAGAGACAGTGCGCAGGTAGTTGACAGAGGTGCACAGGATGTGGCCGTGCTCCCAGGAGAGCTGGCGCACCACGTAGTAGTCCATCTCAAAGGGGCAGCAGACAATAGCCACCAGGAAGTCAGAGATGGCCAGGTTGGCGATGAGCAGGTTGGTGAGATTGCGCAGCTTCTTGTAGCGGACCAGGGCAGCAATAAAGATGAAGTTGCCAATGCCACAGACAAGCATGATGCCCAACAGGGCCATGCCAATGACAATCTTAGCAGCAAAGAATGTTCGGGAATTGGTCACATCTTCATCTTCATCCAAAGGCATATCATAGTCGCCATAGCTGAAGTTGAATGGAAAGGAAGCGGCGTGGGCTCCATGGGGGTTAAATGCAGAAAGGAAACTGCTGGAGGTGTTGGTGACATTGCCGTCCATGAACCCCATGGTGGTCTCCATCTGGCCAGGCGGTGCTGTGAGCAACAGTGCTCGGAATTCCTTAGGGCAATGTCTGCAAGGCTGATGTCACCCCTCTCTGCTATCACTCAGCTCTCCCTTAATGAGTCAGAATGTCTCTGCCAGCATCTTTGGAGTCTGGTATCTGAGCTCCATTCTAAACCTTTGAAAGGCATACAAACAGTTGGCTACATGTTGGGGTAAAGCTGGCTAAATTTAAAACCATCCTGTAACCTAAGCAGACCTATTAGCCACCTGCCCAGAGAGAATATAGGGTGGTGGAATGGAAATAAAGGAACTAATAAGAAAATGAACGAAAACCACATACTCAGTTAGGGAAGGGTGGATTGCTATAGAGACAATCGAGCACTGGCTCGGCTTATTTCTGTTCCACTGAAGATTCAGAAATGTTTTACCTTTTCTCAAGGACAAAAGTTGGGAGTGTGGGGAGGCTGAAGAGAAAGAAATTACTTTAAATGCTATTGAAGAGGGAGGGTTTTCAGACAAGCCTGTCTGCTCTCCTTGCTCTTCTGGCAAAACAAGGCTCTAAAATCACAGAGCCACAGAGCAGCCACCTTCCTCTCTCTTCGCTGGGCTTCCTGTTCCTACATCAGAACCTCCTGTGACCCTAGAAGCTGGGAACAGCATTTACAAAGGCCTGTCACAAGGCAGAGACTGTAGGGTCAAGTCACAGCCTGTGACTAACCAAGTGGTGAGAATGGGGACTCTAGAGCATATTTTTTCCTTGGCTGGTTGAGTGTCCAGAGCTAAATAGCTTAAACACTCAGAGGTTCAACATCTGCCAGGCAGGAGATCAATAATGTCTGCGCAGCCTGAAGCTCCCTGGAGGAGAGTGTTATACCCTAGAACTGCAGGGATTTACTACTGAGCTCTTAGGCCTCCTTGGTCAGTGACAAGGAAGGGGAGTGAAATTCTGATACAGAAACTCCACCACACCACATAATAGGGCCGGGACGAGGGGTCTGGGGGATTGTCAGCTGCCCTGCTGCGGACAGGGAGGAAACCAGACTCCCCCTGTCTCCTGCCCTCTCCCTGCAGTCCTTCCCAAACTCTGAAGACATCAGACCAGGGATTGGGACATAAAAGGAGGGCTGAGGTCTGGAGAGCATCCTAAAACAAACGTCAGGAGAACAGAGGGAAGAATGCAAGCCTGAGCTTCCTGGAAAAGGGAGATGAGGAACATGCCAAGGACCCCTCCCCCCCTACCCACCAGGAAAGCCTGCTTTCCGTATTCCTCCAAGACAAGACATCTGGAGCTATCTTCCTGGAGCCAGGGTTAAAGTCCCTCTGCGCCCCAGTGGGGCTCAGACCCACTGCTGCCTCTCTTTCCCAACACCTTACCCTGATATTTTCTTCCACTGAGCTCTCAGTTCTGTCTGGCTAAGCCCTTGCCCTCTGCCCCTGTCAAGAAGCAGCAGAACTCAGCTGAAAAGAAGGGGCGCAGGCTTGGAGCCAAGGCGGGACAGGCCCCACTCCTTGCAGGCCCCGTGGGTGGCAGAGACATGGCACTCGGGGGGGAGTACCCCTACCAGCATGCTACCTGAAGTCTCAAAGTAGGTTTCAAAAACAAAGTATAGAAACTTCGGGGATGGAGAGGAGGGTGTCACGAGATTAAGGATGACTATCCATTGGTCTTTTCTCCTTTATTCTCACCTTTCAGAGGGGAACCCCAATCCGACCCCACCTGGTGACCTCTCGATCGCTGGGAGCCTCTCTCACAAACGCCTGCAGATCAATCCCTCGCCTGCTCCCAACTTTCTCCCTGGAGCCTGGGCGGCTTCCCGTAAGGGCAGCGGAGGGGAAGGCTGGCTCTCCTGAAGAAACGCACAGGAGTGAATTCCTTGCAAAGACCCCTCTTCACTCAGAAGCCGCCGCACCCGTCGGCTGCAGCCAGTACAGCGCGGGGTCCCTGGAGCATCCTCCCCGGGAGGGTGCGCTCGGTACCTGCAGCATCGCGGAGTCGGGTGGACAAGGTCCGGGTTTCTATTCCGGGGCCGGAACAGGAGACGCTTCTTCCAGAAGCCGGCAGGCGGAGGGCAGGTCCCCGCTCCCTTTCTCCTCTGCTAGGGGCTCTTTCCCGGCTCTGGCGGGAGTTACGCTCGCGCTGCCGCCGCCGCCGCAGATCCCCCGGCTCGGCCTGCCCCGGACTCCCTGTCCCCGCCTCCAGTGGCCGTGGGGCGCCGAAGTGCCGGCTCGAGGCTGGGCGCGTCGGGGGTCGTCCGGGCCAGCGGGGCTGGGGAGGCCGGGATCGCCCTGGGCAGGAGCGTCCAGGACGCCCGGGCAGCCGCTAGCGGCGAGGACGCGCGGGATGGATCCGGGCCAGGCTGGCGGCGCGTTCCCCGGCTCAGGCTCCGGAACGGCCGCCCCGGGCGGGAACCGGGGCGCTGGGGCTCCCGGCAGGGCTCTGCGCCGACCCCGCGCTGGGGGCACCCAGGCGGGGCGGCTGTGCCCGCCTTGGGGCACGGGGCTCCTCAGCGGCTCACCTTGGCAGCCCGGCGCCGTCGGAGTGGGCGGACACGGCCCCGCTCAGCCACGAGCGTGCAAAGGACCGAGGAGGCTCTCCCGCTGCCCACACACTCAACCTCAGGGGACACGCCCGGGGCGGCCTCCAACCTCGTCCCCTGGGCCAGCCCGACCGGACACCAGGGCCATCTTCGGTGCCAGCTGCCGTACCTCCGCGTAAAAGAGGCTCAGAGAAGAGCTTTCTAGAGAGAAATAAGGAGGCGGGGCAGCACACTGGAGAGAGGAAGGACCCCCGCCCAGAGATGTCTGCTCAGAGGCTGGGATGGACAGCGCTGACTTACAGAGCACAGTCTTCCTTTACCAGCCCATAGATTCCTCAAAAAATAGGGCATGTAGTTCCGAAATCCCGATCCAAGGTACGTAACCCCAAAGTATTGAAAGTACAGACAACATACACCAATGTTTATGGCAGCACTATTCACAGTAGCCAAAAGACAGAAACAAACCAAATGTCCGTTAAGTGTATTAACAAAATACATATAGTGTATACATAAAATAAAATATTATTCAACTATAAAAAGAAATGATGACAAGTGTTGGTGAGAACGCGGAGAGACTGGAACTCTGCACTGTTGGCAAGAAAGTACAATGGCACAGCCACTGTAGAAAACAGTATAGTGTTTCCTCAAAAAATTAAAAATTACAATTACCATATGATTTAGTGTTTCCACTTCTGGGTGTCTAACCCAAAAAATTAAAAGCAGGATGATAGGGTTTGGCTGTGTCCCCACTCAAATCTCCACTTGAATTGTATGTCCCAGAATTTCCACCTGTTGTGGGAGGGACCCAGGGGAAAGTAACTGAATCATAGGGGGCCTGTTTTTCCCATGCTATTCTTGTGATGGTAATAAGTCTCATGAGATCTGATGGGTTTTTCAGGGGTTTCTGCTTTTGCTTCTTCCTCATTTTTCTCTCTTTGCCACCATGTAAGAAGTGCCTTTCATCTGTCTCCCTGAGGCCTCCCCAGCTGTGTGGAACTGTAGGTCCAATTAAACCTCTTTTTGTTCCCAGTTTCAAGCATGTCTTTATCAACTGAGTGAAAATAATACACAGGGTATCAAAGGCATGTTGGTACATCCATGTTCATAGAAGCATTATTAGCTGTTATTCACTATTAATAGTGAAAACACGGAAACAGTCCAAATGTCCATCGGCGATGAAGGGATAAACACACTGTTCCACATACACACATGCACTCACATGGGAACTTCCAAAAGTTTGTGGGAAAATTGAATTAAAAGATAAAAATAAAAAAATATAAACTTTAGCTCTCAACATAAGCTTCATCACGTTCAAGATGATTCTGTGATGATGCCAGCCATTTAGTCCATCTCTAAAGAATGGAGGGTCCTCGGCATTTTTCTATTTTTAATTTTTTGTTAAGACAAGGTCTGGCTAGGTTGACCAGGCTAGTCTCAAACTCATGGCCTCAAGTGATCTTTCCACCTCAGCGTCCCAAAGTGCTGTGATTACAGGCGTGAGTCACCAGGCCTGGCATGGGTCCTGGGAACTTAACCATGTCAATGAAGTCTTTTTCACATTGTTAACTTAAGAAAAATGGGTGCCCGCTAAAGACTTTTTAAGATTAGAAAATGAAGTCAGAAAGAGCCAAATCAGGGCTGTAAGATGGGTGCCTAATGATTTCCCATTGAAACTCTTGCAAAATTGCCCTTGTTTGATGAGAAGAATGAGCAGGAGTATTGTCATGGTGGAGAAGGACTATTTGGGGGAGCTTTTTCAGGCATGTTTTCTGCTCCAGCTTTAGCTAATTTCTCCAAATACTCTCATAATAAGCAGATATTATCATTCTTTGGCCTTCTACAGAAAACCACATGCAAAATACTGTGAGCATCCCCTGAAAAATCTATTGCCATGACCTTGTTCTTGATTGATCTGCTTTTGCTTTGACTGGACTGCTCCCACATCCTGGGAGTCATTGCTTTGATTGTGCTTAGTCTTTAGGATCACACTGGCAAAGTCTTGTCTTTTCTCCTGTTATTACAGTTCTTCAAAGAAATATTTCATAATCTTGATCCCACCTGTTTTGTATTTCATTGAAAGCTCTACTCTCATCTACAGCTGATCTGGGCATAACAATTTTAGCACCCATCAAGTGGAAAGTTTGCTCAACTTTAATTTGCCAGTCAGAAATCAGTAAATTAAACCAATTGAGGTGTCTGTGGTGTTGGTTATTGTTTCTGCTGTTAATCATCCATCTTCTTCAATTAGGGCATGAATAAGATTGATTTTTTTCTCACAAATGATGTGGATGGTCTGCTACTGCAGACTTCATCTTCAACATCCTCTCGTCCCTTCCTGAATCGAGTATCCATTTATAAACCACCAATATCTTCGGGTCATTGCCAACAAAAAACTTTTCATAAGGTACCAGTGATTTCACCATTCTTCCCCCCAAGCTTCACCATAAATTTCGTGTTTGCCTTTGCTTCGGTTTTTCAGAATTCATGTTGCTCTGATAGAGGCTCTTTTCAAACTGATATCTTATCCTTCTTAGTGCCGCAAACTAGATCCTATTCGGACATGTTGTAACAAATGTGCATGAGTTCATTTTGGTGTAAAAAAAAATTTGAATTCCATGCATACTTTTTTCATAATATGCATTTTCCACAAATTTTTAAAGCCCTCTCGTGTGTATATGTGTGTTTATACACACAGAATGGAATATTATTCAGCTTTAAAATGGAAGGAAATTCTGACATATGCTACAACATGGATATACCTTGAAGACATTGTGCTAAGTGAAATAAGCCAGCCACAAAGGAACAAATACTGTATGAATCCACCTATGTGAGGTAGCAAGAGTAGTCAAATTCATAAAGACAGAAAGTAGAATGGCGGTTGCCTGGGTCTTGAGGAAGGAGGAATGGGGAGCTATTGTTTAATTGGTACAGAGTTTCAGTTTTGCAAAATGAAAAGAATTACAAAGATGGATAGTGGTAATGGTTGCACAACAATCTGAATGTACTTAATACCATTGAACTGTATACTTAAAAACTGTTAAGATGGCAAATATTTTTTTTCACTTTACCACAATGAGAAAATGGGGAAAAAAGGAATGATGTACTGACACACGCTACAACATGGGTGAATCTTGAAAACATCATGCTAAGTTAAATTAAGCCTATCACAAAAACAAATATTGAATGATTACACATATATAAGATACCTAAAATAGGCAAATTCATAAAGTCAGAAGGTAGAATGGTTGTTACCGGGGCTGAGGGGGAGGAGAAATAGCAGATTATTATCTAATGGGCTCAGAGTTTCTGTTTGGGATGATGAAAAAGTTCTGGCAATG